TCACGAAGGCTGGCAGTGCGGCCAAACCCTACGAGGCGCCCAACCAGAAGGCAAAGCAGGCTGCCGAAAACTATGTGGCCAAGATTCGAGCTAGCGAAGTGGGTGACCCAGCCGCATGGAGCCAAGTGGTGGAGTGTGGAGCGGCCCTTCTGGATGGCGCCGGGTGGGTTCAGGGGGCAGCAGAGAGCTTGTGGCAGGTGCGAGAGGAGCAGGGCCTGAACAACTTGGCCGGAGTCGACGACCCGTACCTTGATACTGTGCTTCATCCTCATCTCCTCGAGTACCTGCGTGATGTTCGGCATCGAGGCATGGCAGCTCGGTGTGTGGGGGAGCGCGATTGAAGGCCAGACCCCACCCAAATGCCAGGCGACACCTCGACCAGCTCTACAAGCAGATCTGGAAGGATGTGGTGAAGCACCGTGTCCTGGTTGTGCCCTCGGATCACCCCGCCATGGATGATGTGCTGTCTTCTCCTTTCAATGCCGTTGACAAGATGTTGCCAGACAGGACGATCGCGGTGGACAAGCGGATAGTCCATGACCAACGCGGAGTCAATGCCCTGACCGACAAGGAGCTCCATCCCCCGGCGATCCAACTGAAGCATGAACAAATTGCAAGGTTGGTCCTCTGGAACAAGGCTCGAGCGCCGAAGGTCCCGATCCTCATGTCCAAGAAAGATATTGCCGGGGCCTTTCGTTTGCTGTGGGTGGACCAAGGGACGCGGCTTTGTTTGCAGGCGACCTCCCGTGGGACGCGGACGGCATGGAGCCAGGTGGGAAGCTGGATGGTCCCGAAATGACGGTCATTTACTTGGTCAGCTCCTTTGGTTTTTCAGGGTCGGTGTGGGGCAAGGCTACTGAAGACTTCCTTCGTGGGCATGGTCCAGCGCAACCTCGGCGAGACCTCACCTGGAGTTTCGACAGCCGGATCCTGGTGGACGACAATGTGTTGGTCGAGCCCTGGGTCGGCTTGCGGCCGTGGGTGGCTGGCGAGGTGTACGAGATCGGGGTCAAGACCATGTTGGGGGAGGCGGCCGT